AACTAACAATATTTTTTTAACTTTTAAAAAAGACCAAGTTGCCAAGTTAATTTTGCAAATCGTTTTTTTTTCTGAAAAAAAAACACACCATATTTTAACAGTTTTCACTTTAAAAAGATTGCCAACTTAGTTGTTTTATCCTCTGAAAAAGTAAAACTAACATTATTTTGACACTTACAACTTTCAAAAATCAAGGTAACCAACTTAAAAACAGTATTTTGATTCTTCTTCTTGGATCTTCTTGGTATGGAAACGATGAACAAAAACACGATTAGCCCGTCACACCAAACTTTTATTTTAATAGCACAACGCGTTTCAACCACAAAGTGGTCATCCTCAGGTGAGAATAAAACTTAGAATAAAACTTAGTTTTATTCTCACCTGAGGATGACCACTTTGTGGTTGAAACGCGTTGTGCTATTAAAATAAAAGTTTGGTGTGACGGGCTAATCGTATTTTTGTTCAGTATTTTGATTGTTTTAACATTCAAAAACGATGAGGTTGCCAACTTAATTTGTCAATTGGTTTTATACTCTAAAAAACTTGAAAACCAACAATATTACCAACAATATTTCGATAGTTTTAACTTTTAAAAATGACAAGGCTGCTCATTTAAAAATTGAAATCAACAATATTTTGATAGTTTTAACATTCAAACATTGACAGTTTAGCTGTTAAAAATGACAAGGTTGCCAACTTAATCAATTCGTTTTATCCTCTGAAAAAAATTAAAACCACCAACATTTTGATAATTTGAAGAACGACAAGGTGCCAACTTAATTTTGCAATTCTTACCTGTGACGCAGACTGTGACAAACTTGGAGCCGAAATAGCCCCCCGAGGCGAATCTGCAAGGATTGGGGTACATGCTTTGGAAGTGTCCGGCCATGATACACTCCTCTGCTGACAAAAAATGACTATTAATATGTCTTAAGTGTTTAACGGTGCCCTTTTGGACATCTTCGGGGATGAGATCGGTAAAAATCCAGCCGACTCGTCGCAGCCCCAAATTCTGTGCTAACTCTTCGACTATTTCCTCTTTGTCGTCACGCAAGAGATGAATAGAGTCGCGACTGCTCTCCTGAGGGGGCTCGTAGATAGCCACGACGTTGGCTCTGATACCTTTAAAAAAAATTGTATTTTCCATAAGAAAAATCGCAAAAATACCTAAAGGCACATCGTTGTGAATTTCGTAATTGCCGTACAAAAAGCCGATTCTTTGGTGTCCCGTGGACCTCCAATAATTGAGAAATCGCTCAACCAAATCCTTATTTTCAAACGCGACATTATCGACATGTCTGTAGACTTGTCGGTTGAGAGTGATTGCGTTGGGTTGGCATTTGGAGCAGATCCCTTTGGGCCATGGGGGGTGGTCCTTGCACCCGTTTTTGATCCGACACGAGATGTCCTCAAGGGCTAGAAACTTGCCCTTGTCGACCCCCGAAGTCATCTTGCGCAAATAGGCGTGAAAAGACAAGTGTTTGACGTTGTGATCCCGCAAATAAGCCTCGTCGTAGGGCTCCAGGGCCGAGCAATGCACACAGCGAGAGTTGCTATTGTGGCGACATCTGCAACAACTCACATTTGTCAAGCCCCAAATTGGTTCCCCACTCACAGTTTGGGGTCCGGCTTCCGCGCTATCTTCCCGTCAAGTTTGTACAACTGGAGGTCGACGGGGTCCTCCTTGAGGGTGAGACTAAGACTGCTATTTGGTCGGGAACTTGTGGATGGGGTCGGTTCCCCTGACGGCGTGTTGTTCCCCTGCAGCCCCCGTGTTAGTCTAAACCCGATTTGGGGGTGATTTACTCACCGTGGGGAAGAGGACAGCCCCGTTGAGGGGGCATAGATAGATCATGTCGCCGTGGCGGAGGCCTAGGCCGGCCACAGTCCGGGATTTGCTACTAGGGATCTCATTTTTTAGGTTCTTTTCTTTGTATAAAGCAAACGCGAAACTGCTCAAATCGAAAGTGTCGTGGACACGTTCGAATAGCCGGCAAGTGCTCTCCGATGCGTTCACTTCGATCCGTTTCGTGCCTTCGGGGGACTGCACCCTCAATAACTAAAAAAGAAAAATGGCTTTGTCACTACTTTGAATTTTTGAATTTTGAGGTTATGTCACAAAAATGGAAAATATGCGAAGTAAGGGTGAAAACTCGAGTTGGGGTGAAGCAAGTGTGATTTATAAGTGGCTTACTATTGCTTTATCTTTGGACATTGTAAAAAATTCATGTATATTTTTATAAGCTTAGTCAGTACTATTTCAAGTCGAATTGTCAATCGGCACGAGTGCCAACATCGACGAATTAAAATCACTAAGCCGGCAATTTTTCAAAATTTGGCAAGTTTTCCAAAAATCGTTTAAAAAAAAAAATCAAGAAAAACACTAAAAATAACCCCCGATTTGTGTTAATGCGCAGTTTGGTTGGCGTGTCAATATTTTTAGTTTGTCTGATTTTCAAACTTTCTAATAATTCATTTAAGAGCCTTGGACGAAAATTCCTGATTCTAAATATAAAATAACGGTGGAATTCGTCACAACTGCATAAACCCACAGGTGAAACTGCGATTATATTTATTCAAGTCGGGCCTGCAGTGCGTTTCGCAACATTAATTACTTAATTAATTAATTAAGTTTGTGCGTGGTTTTGATCAAATTTAAAAAAAATTGGTGATTGTTTAAGTTCCAAAACTTAAAAAAAAATAAGTTCCAAATTTGGTGACAAAACCGGAACCCGGAGCTGTCAAACCGGAGAAGGTTCCAGACTGTTCTGTGTCATCGGCGATTCAAATTTCGCGACAAGTGAGTGAATGAGAATTTGTCAACAATTAAAAGTAAGTTTCTCTGATTAATTTAATTTTAATTTACTTCAAAGAAAAATCAAAACTGTCAAAAAATTATCAAAACTGTCAGGTGACAAATTTTCAGAATTGTTATTTTTGCAAATTCTAGCCAAAATGACCTCAAATAAGGTGGAGTTGTACATTTACGACCTCTCGAAAGGGATGGCGGCCGCCCTATCACCGATGTTGATAAGTGAGTAAAATTTTGAGGTTAACTTTTGTCGAAAATTCAGTTTCCAGATAAAAAAATCGACGGAATTTGGCACACATCGATTGTGGTTTATGGTCGCGAGTATTTTTTCGGCTCACATGGCGTATCTAGTTGCAATCCGGTAAGGAAAAAAAGCTTGTCCGGGGTCGTGTAACCCCTTTATTTTGTTTTGTGTTATAAATACGGTGACGATACGGATTTAGAAGTGGTCTCTGAGTTGGGTTACATTCACAGAGGGCACTGTCTAACTGTCCTGCAAGTATCATGTCGAAATCTAAAATTGGAATTGTGCTATAATTAAACAAACAGTATTTGGCTGCCAGTGAACCGGCTTTCTCATCACATTAGTCTTATTAGTGCATTTAATTCTCTTAGATCTTTGTAAGTTATTTGTGGTGGTGCATGCATTTATGCAATGGTTGATGCGGAAGTGGTATTTTCGGTCACGCAGATGGCTTCTGTTTGCACGCTTTTTGCCCCATTAAATCAAATACCAGAAGCGTGAGGTGGCCAACAGTCTCACTTCACCTTTTTTCAAACACTCGGTACAAATTTAAATAACTTTAAATGCAACGCATTTACGATGTGGGTGGTGACGCATGTGTGATTTATTTGGCAAAAACAATTTTATTTGAAGAAGTCGCAAGACCAAGAATGGTTTGTGGCGATGCGATTGTTTTCAAGCATTGATTGATTCGCGAATCTATTTAAATGCCGCTTTAAAAATAAATAAAATAATTAGCTTGTTTTTACGAACGTGTCAAGGCAATTGTAAAGACAAAGATGTGTTTTTATATGTATACATTTTTTAACTAATTACATAAAATGAGTTTTATAAAACGAGATTATCAAAGATTTATTAGTCAGGTGTATTGTTGGTTGCCTATACACTAAAGTTATATTAATTTTTAAATAAGATATTCTTCAATAAAAATCTCTGTCCTTATTTAAAAATTGATTTTTTGTTGATTTTTGAATAATTGAATTTGAATAATAATTAAAAAGAACCTATTTACATTATTTTTGGAATGATGGTCACAATGTTTCAATAACGCGCCTGTTTCAATCGTGGGCGCCTTTTTTTCATCACCCTGTGTATAGGTATTTATTGTATTTCAATAAAATTGTTGTTTTTTATTTAAAAATTGATTTTTTGCTAATTTTTTTATTATCTTTTGGCGATGCTTAATTGTTTTTAAGCATGGCATTACAAATAGTTGATTGGTTTGACATCTATTTATTTAAATGCTTTAAAAATAAAAAAATCTTTGTGCTATTTTTAGAAAAGTTTTTTGCGAAATATAAAGAAAAGATGCGTTTTTTATATACATAATAATTACATTTTATAAAATGATATTGAATTAAATTTTTTAGTCGGGTGTATTGTTAGTTGCCTACCCACAAGAAAATAAATTGAAAAAAATATATTTACTGCGTTTTGAAATAATGTGTTCTTTAATATAATTGTCGTTTTTTAAAAATTGATATTTTGATGATTTTTTAAATAATTTTCTTGGCGATGCCTATTTGTTTTCAAGAAAATCTGTCTAAATGTGGGTTTAAAAATATAAGAATTTTTACTCTATTTCTAAGAAAGTTTTAATTTAGTTGGAAAGACAAAAGTGTGTTTTACATATGTAATAATTTTGTTTGAACTAATAACGACAGATGAGTTTTGTAAAACGAAATTATACAAGATTTATTAATCAGGTGTATTATTGGTTGCTTACCCATTAAAAAATAAATACCAGTTTTATTGAAAAAAATATATTTTACGTTTTGAAATAATATATTCTTTAATAAATTTGTTGCTTTTTATTTAAAAATTAATATTTTACTGATTTTTGGGTAATTGTTTTTTAGTGATGCTTAATTGTTTTCAAAAAAACTGACCAAATGTCGCTTTAAAAATTAAAGACTTTTAGCCTATTTTTACAAGCGGTTTAAGGCAATTGTGACAATTTCGTATGTAATATATTTTTTTAACTAATGTCAGATTTCTGATTTTTAAGATGTATGTATTGTTGGTTGCCTATATATAAAAAAATCTTTGATTTTGCAAAGTTAATTTTGCTACGAACGTTTGAAGGTAATTAATAATAAAAAAGAGATGTGTTTTTATATTTAACAATTACACAAAATGAGTTTTATAAAACAGATTTTTTAGTCACAGTAACAGTTTGAAAAAACTTCTTGTGATTTGAAATAATATATTCTTTAATAAAATTGTTGGCTTTTATTTGGCTGATTTGGGTGATTGTCTAGGGCACGACTGCTCTGGGACAGCCCCTGCGTGTGAAAACCCTCGGCGAGACTCAGGTCCCTTACTCGGTATTCATCGACTATATAAACGGTCTCAGCGAATCAACTTGGGCGTAAGCACCCCAAAAATGTAAAAAAACGCTTTAAAACTTCCATATTTAGGGGCTCAACGTACGATTTATTCCACCACAACTGCAACAACTTTTCAGAAGAAATCGCCCAGTTTTTATGCGGCTGTAGCATACCTAAATACATCCTAGACTTACCAAACGAAGTCCTTAGTTCGTCTCTGGGGCCGGCGATACCACTTCTGGTGGCACAATTGGAGAAAAGTGCGAGGCCTATAGCCGAGGAGCAGGAAAGGGCGAGGGAGAATAGCCCCGATTTGGAGCAGTTGAATTCGCAAATTGAAGAAGTCAGGTCAGAGCAAAATAAGGGCGTGGGGGAGCATTGACACAGCTTGGGGTGTAGTTGAATTGCTTGTATTAAAAAATAAAAATGCATTTTTCGTGTTGCTTTTGTCAATAATCATGACGTTGGTTTTAGGGGATTTTTGTTTAAAATCTGATTTCTTGTAAAATTGGTAGATGTGAAAATTTTGAAATTGATATGTATGATTTAAATTTGAATAAATTATTTAAAATTTTGTGAACTTTAGTGATTTTTTATCTCCACAAGAAATGAGATTGCACATGGATTTGTTTTGTAATTTAAGTAAGTATTTATAAAATCGTGAGAATAGTCAATTTAAGTCGTAAAAATATGGTTTCTAGACGTAAAATTACGCGCTGAACACGATGCAATAAGTTAAAATACATTACGAATGTTACGTTGCATAGTTTTTGAGATATTGAGTAATAAAAAGTTAAGTCAAGATAAGGCTAGAAGCATAATCACTATATCCGATTATGACCAAAAAATGAACATTTTTTGATTTCTATGAAAAACTAGTACTACATGTATGTATGTAAAATTTACAGTAGAACACGCCTGTACAAACCGTTTTGACCTAGGACTCATAGTTTTTGAGATATTAATTTTTTATAAAAAAACTAAATATTGCTCTGAGCCCTGAACCATAACCCTTCCAGTTGGCGCCATTAGTTAGATAATTTAATGTAGATTTCAATGGTTTTTAGCTTTTTGCTCTGAGTCTATAGTTTCGTATTAAAACGCATTTAAAAAAAGGTGTTAATTTTTTTTTATTAATTTTTTTATTTTTTAATTGCGGCAAAACTGTATCTCAATGATATAATATTTTGACGTAAACCTATGTAAAATATTCCGGGGAATCGATTGGCGTCAAGAAAACTGCAAAATTCGTAACAGTTTTGAAGTTATAGTCGAATTTATATTTTTGAAATTTTTAACTTTATCAGAAATTTTCCCGTTAACTATTTATCGTAGGACATTGATCTTTTGTATATGATAGAAAATTAATTTTTTTTTCCAACGATACCAAACATAAAAGGTTATCACCAATAAGTCCGTAGTTATTGACAATAGACCTCTCCGGGTGCCAAAAATCGACCAAAATCTCGACAAAATCAAAAAAACTTTAAAATTCTTCCATATGACGTTTTTTACATTTCTAGAGGTCTTAAAGACTCTAAAAAAAGTGTATAAAACGTTATTGGGTCAAGTTTAAAAAATTACGAATTTTTTGAGTTTTTGAAGATGAGCGGTAGTAAAATCGTAAAAGTAATCAATTGACCTTAAATAATAAAAACGCTCTAAATATGGTTTTCTTCACCTTTTTCAAAATTAATTCAGAAACCATTACATGTAATTCAGATTAGTCAATTTACTTTCAGAAAGAGTAAATTGTAATTTAGATTAGTCAATTGTCTTTCAGAAAGTGTTAATTGTAATTCAGAAGAGTAAAATCAGTTTCAGAAACCATGAGATGTGATTCAGATTAGTTAATTTAATTTCAGAAAGCATAAATTGGAATTCAATTTAGTCAATTATATTTCAGAAAGTATTTCATTTTCATGTTATATGTAATTCAGAAAATATTAATTGTAATTCAGATGAGTAACTTACTGTTTTCTTAAAATGAAGTGTACACATAAACACGAATTATTTTATTTTCAAAATTAAAGAATTACATAAACTTGGTATTTTATAAAATAAATAAGATATTTTATTTTCAAAGGGATTTTTAAATGAAAATAACAAACTCTAAATTACAATTAACGTTTTCTGAAATATATCTTACGCTTTCTGAATTACACTTGAAAAAGGTAGTCGTAAAATTATACGATGAACTCGTGTTAAAATACTCTACAATGTATATATACATATACTGCTCCACAAAAGTTAAGGAAGTGTGCAATAATTACAATAATTATACATATTAATAAATTATTAAAAAAAAAATAATCAATCAAAAGTGGGATAAAGGCAGATATCTTTTTACTTTTTTGTTTTTGCTGGATTCCACGATGCTCAGAAGAATAAAATTTATTTGTTTTAAAAATAATGCCACTTCCTTAACTTTTGTGGAGCAGTTTAGTTTTTGTGATATTGAGGTACCATATTATTTTTTTGTGATTAAAATTGTTGCATTAGGTACCGGTCGTTTTTGCTCGAGCAGAGACGCAAGACAATCAAGGAGAAGCTCGCAAAGAAAGACCGGAAGAAGGAGAAAAAACGCAAGAAGTTGCAAAGTCAAGGTGGTGCAATCCCGGTCGAATTAGAAGTAATTCTCTATAATTAAATTAAATTCGATTAAATTACGCAATTGTAGGAGGTCGCAATGTCGGAGCCTGAAGTAAACGGAGCCGAAAGTCGGTTACCGACCGAGCAAGTCATGGATTTGGAAGAGGAAGAACGACGCGAAGAAGAAGAGAAGAAGAAATCGCGGGAACCCCCAGTCGTCTACAAGGACTTACTTGACGTAGAGTGTATCCCCGGTTTTGTGATTTTTTAATTGGGGGTTTTTAGGCCAAAACCGAATTTGATGCTCTTTTGGGATTGGTTGATGGGAAGTTGTCAGAGGAGGAGCAGAGGTCGATGGAGGAGTTGCAAGTTTACATGATTGGGGACGAGGGGAGTTGGGCCTTGAGTGACGGGTTTTTGGCGTTCATTGGTTGGTAGAAATGACTATAAAAACTCTTTTTTGTATTAATGTGCATCAAGTAGCTTGTAGAACTCTAAATGCGTCTTTAATCTAAAGGCCTATTCACACAAAAACTGTCATTAATGTCATTCAGGATTGTTTGAATTTTTGCGTGGTTGTCACCTTAAAATGATTCTTTTCAACGGCTACTTCGTTGCACATTGATTTGAAAACGAGTATATTTAGTTTTCAAATGAAATGAAATAAAATAAAACCGGTTTTAGGGCGTTTATTACATGATAGAAATCTGCCAAATGAGGTTCGTGTCCGCACTTTGAATATTTTGGCTTTAGCAGCGTTGAAAGATGATGTGATTTTGGTGTTGCATCAGGACCGCAAAGACCACGTTTTGATGAATTATGCCTTTGATATTGATAGACACAGTCCTGAGGAACAGGAGGCTTTGGCTCTATTTGTACGTCCCTGAAATAAAATTTCCTCGAGTCAATTTTTGGTTTTGTTAGGTTGCCAACATGTTCGAAAATTTGAGCTCCTCCGAGTGGTTGATGTACATTTCGGAGTGGAGTTACAATAACCAGCAAACTAGCAATATCAGGGTTACCACCAAAGTAGCAGTTCACTCGTTGTTGTCCGACTTGCCCCTCCTCCAGGAACGGGGGACGGCAATCATCCATAATTTGGCTTGCAAGGAGGTAAAAACAGTGGTTTGTAGCTCAACAAATTGGAGTTTTACCCCCTTTTGATGGCAATTTTGCAGGTGTTTGACGACGTCGCCGTGGAGTTGACGATGGCCCTGTTGCAATTCTTCAATTCGAAGCCGAACGAGGAGCATTTGTTCCGGTGCATGAAGGCGTTGAGCAAATTCGTGCAAATTTCAGCACAGGAAGTCCCCCAATTGATACAAATGATCGGGCCTGATCCGAGGTCGTTCAAGGGCACTAGCGAACGAATCGACCAACTTATCGAGCAAATCGCCACGAAATTGCGCTAATTTTTTGTTAGATAGTCAGTGTTGTTTATTTTCTTTAACACTTAATATTTTTTACCGTTTTTATTTATTTGTATTTATGGATTTGTTTAATCGCATTGTGGAATTATTAAGAAATAAAAGGATTTATCGTTTGTAGCGAGTTTTATTTTAATGAAGGGGCAAGTATTAACAGTTTACAGTGATGTAGGCAACCAATTATACTCTAATTTACATTTTTTTTAAGCAAAATAAACAAAACGTTACTGTAACGGTATAAAATAGTTAGTAATTTGTCAAATTGTATGTGATTTTATTCAAAAATTGTATTTCTAATTAATAGTTATTAAAGAATATTAATTTTAAACTTAAATGTAGGCAACTAATTATACAACAATTTTAATACAGAGTGTTTCACACAACTTTACGAGGCTTGCGCCTAATGTACGTACCCAAATATACAAAAGTCACAAAACACTGGATACAAAAAATACACTTCTAACTATTACATTTTTGGAAACCCATAACAGTAGTTGTCAAACTAATCACTGTTTCATTAATAGTCATAAACTACAGTTTTTCAGAAACAATTATCATTTGTTTTATCAAGAGACAGCATGAATATGATTCAATTTATCTATCTTTATCACCAACTAACTAAAAACGTTGTAATTTTTTTAAAGGGTGAACAAAGTAGAGAAGATTATTCAATTTTTCAAAATTTGTAATCGAGTTTGTGTCGGAATATGTATTATTGATTGCATCTTACAGGCGCAGGGCTCGTAAAATTACGTGAAACACCCTGTATTTTGGATTTTTATAAGAGCAATGCAATGCATTTTTAGACAAATAACGTTAGTAAAACGTAAATAAACTTTTTTTTGATTTGTAAAAAATACGTGTTAATTTTGTGTTAAATAATCAGTGTTTTTTCTACTTTGTTTATGACGTAATATATTTTGGTGTTTATATTTTTTGGTATTTATTTACGATTTGTTTAATTGCGTTGTGGAATGAATAAAGAATAAAAAAAATATAGTTTGTAGTAAGTTTTATTTTAATAAAGAAACAAAACAATAGGTAAAAAAATAAAAATATTAGATATAAAAATAGTAGATTGTTTAGCAAGTAAAGAAAGGTAGTGGTAAACCAGTTTTTTTACGAGTTGAACATGCGATTTTTTGTATCCTTAATAGAAAACGTGGAAAACCTAAGAATATTTTCAAGTGTTGCTGATTAGTAAAATAAAACAAATACTTTTTTTCAATAAAAAAAAACATTGTTGTTTAAATGGCATTAAAATGCTAATGAAATATTACGACTTAATTTAAAGTAATTAAAAAAAGTGTTTTTTCGTAAATAAGTGACAAACATTTTTAATGTTAATCTAGGCAACCAATTATACGCTAACTTAAAAACATATTTTTTTTATTAAAATAAATATAACGTTATTACGTCATTAAAATTGTTAATACATTGTTTGGATCTATTAAGTTTGTTGCAAATTTATTATATTAAATTAGTAATTGCATAAAAAGTTTAAATTTAAAAGTTTTAATAGCCATGCAGGCAACCAGTTATTCACAAGTTTTGAATGTTTAAATAACATAATTAAATGTTGTAATGTTTATATAACAATATTAGATTAATTTTCAAATTGTTTGCAAAGTTTACAATAAAGTAAGATAACTTACAGTAATATGTAAAAAACAACTTTATTAATCAGATAAAATGAAGAAATCTATTTAAAGAAATGCAATTAAGTACGTTAGTTACATTTTATGTACATATCAAAATTATTTTTTTTAAATTGCATTTAATTTGATGTTAAAAAAAAGGCCATGCAGGCAACCAGTTATACACCAATTTGAGTCGTCATGCATGTTTGGGATTTCCAAGGGCATTGCAACGCATTTTGAGGCAAATGCCGCTAAGAAACCCCAAAATTGCATAAACAAATTTTTTTCGGTCCTTTCGGAAGTCGTTTTGGAGTTCGGTGTTTCCGGCAATGTAATAACTTGGGACTTAACAGGCCAGTAGCTTTAAAAATGATCAACTGAACCTATAAGGCCCAAACCATTACGACCAGTTTCCTCTTGTCCTCGTCCCTGTAAGAAAACTGCAACAACTTTAGTATAATCCCAATATCGGTAATAATTTTCCGCGAACAAGCCCGTTATGATGTTCCTGCTTGTTCGCTCTGATTTAAAAATATGAAACAAGTTTGAGGAATGACAATTTTGAGAATTGTCATTTTTCGTAATTAAACACGATGTTATCTGAAATGAGAATGTGTGATTGATGGACTGTGCGGTGATGGCCGATAGCCGATCACATGTGCACTGGACGAGAAAGCAATTTGTTGGACGCGATACATATCTGGATGCGAATTCCGGGGACCCGGAAACGATGGAAAAGTCCGGTGTTGCGCAGCGAGTGGCCTTTTATTAAGTTGTTTGTTCGTCTTATGCATTATGTATGCATATAGGTGGTCGAATGCGTATTACGTTCGAATCCCGGCGGGTTTTTAACTTATGTACATGCGAAATTAGTTGATTTGGTTTCCTTAACTGGAATGATAGGAGAAAACAACTTTACATGCGCCATTAGGAACACACATCGTTTTGCATCGACATTGCGCTTATCCATCAACGTCTGTCGATAGATAAGCGCACCAAATGCTGATTTATTCCCAGTTAAAGACACTTTTTCAACAGCGATTTACCACACAATTTGAGAAAAATTGTACAGACTAACTCGTAAATTGAATCATTAGTTTATTCTTTTTCTAGTTTTTTCGTTAAAATTTTCTAAGCTTTTCAAGTTTTTTATTTTCTAGTTTGTTAAAAAAGTTGCTGAATTTTTCATTCAATTTGCAGCAATTTTCGGAACTTTACTTTATGTTTTTCGTATTTTTTATCGGGTTTTTATTGTGTTTAAAGCTTTCTTCGTTTTGTGATTGCGTATTTTTTGTTCCAATTTTATGTAGAAAATTCACACTTTGAATTATAAAAACTCATTTTTGCGGTTTTCAGTAACTAAAAAACTGTTTCATATGTCATTAACTTTGCAGTCGACTGTACAAATAATTTCGTGTTTAGTTTTATTAATTTTTTATTTGCGGTTTTAAATTCTGAGTTTTTTAAATTTTTTCATTCGAGTTTATTAAAGATTTTGAAAGTAATTTGAGTTGTTTATTTTTTTATAACGTTTCTGATTTAGGGTTTTCAGGAATTTGGGTTTAGGTGTTTTGTTGAAGTTTCAGGTTTGCCAGTTTGGTTCAAAATTCAATCAAATTCTTTCAGGATTTCGGTTCAAGTTTTTGTTGTTTTTTCATTTGGGTTTTCCAAATTGTGTCGTGTTGCAAGCCTTCTACTTACGATTTTCTTCGTTTTGTGACATTTTCAAACTTTTTGCTTTTACTTGGAAATTTACCAGTTTTTATCTTCTCACAATTGACGAAATTTTTCATAATTTTTTTCAAACATCCTCAATAGACCACCGATTATAATCGTAAAAAAAATACAAACTTCGACAATAAAAACACCAATTTTTATCAGTAGTTTTGCATATGTGTGTTTCAGGATCTTAAAATGATCATTCGGAATTTTCAAGCTTTTCAAATTGTCTTTCAAGTTTTTCACGTGTTTCTTTTTTGCTGTAATAATAATCATCGCCAAAAAAATAATTTCTAGTCTGCGGTTACTAGAAAACTGTTTCAAAACTAAATAACAAGTAATTTGATGAATTGTCTGCAAAAATATTAAATCGCTAACTTTGTTATTAAATTTGCAGAGTAGGAACATATATTTTTGCGTTAAGTTTTTTAATGTTTTATTTGAAACTTTAATTTTAATTGGGCTTTTCAAATATTTCAATTCAATTTTTTAGAGCGTTTGAGTTTTTTTATTAGACTATTTATTTGAATTTTTTAAGAATAAGAATTTAAAAAAAAAATTGATATTTTAGTTTTTTATTCATGTCAAAATTCAATCAAAATTTTCAGAATCTTTTTTTTTTTTTTTATTCGGATGTTCACAGGTTTTCTAGATCATGTTAAAGATATCAAAAAATTGTTTGAAGTCTTTAATTCCCTTATATTTTATTTAGAAACTGAAAAAATTATTATAAATGTAGTCTAGCCAAAGTTTGTAATCAGTTTTACAAATTAGTTACATGAAAACACATTTCTCTTATTATTAATTTATTTGATTTGTTACATTTCCATATTTTTTATGAAGTCGTTAATTTTGTCTTTAAATGTGCAAAGAATTGTACTAATATTTTCGAGTTTGACTATATTAATTTTTTATTTAAAATTCCAGTGTTTATTCAGTTTTTCAGATTTTTTCATTTACATTTTCTAAAGCTTTTGAATTTTTCATATCAGATTATTAATTTAGATTTTTTAGAAATTAGTGTTTAGGAAGTTTTTCATATTTCAGTTTTCCAGTTTGATTTCATTCATGACAAAATTCAATCAAATTTTCAGAATTTCAGTTTCTCTGTTTTTTTTTATTCGAATTCTTAGACGTTTTCCAAACTTTGTTTTCAAGTTATCGCAAAATTTTTTAAAGTGTTTAACTTCTCTGCTATTTTATTTGAAATTAAAAGAAAACAAAAAAACCACTACAAAAGTGTCACTACAAAATTTGTTATTAGTTTTGAAAATTAGTTTACACCAAAACACATTTCTCTTATTATTTTATTTGTTTAGTTACGTTTTCATATTTTGTTGCAATTTTACGCTTTTTTCTACAAATTCAGAAATTTTATTCTTCTCACAACTCACACAATAAATAAACATCCTAGAAATTTTTTATCACTTTTCCTTCAACATCCACAAATGGCCACTGATTACAATTATGATAACACTTAGAAACGTTATCAGATCACGACACATTCAACTTGAAATTGCTTTTGCCTATCTCTGGCTGTGATTAAGAATGAAGCTGCAAACTGCCACACCAACACTTAATATTTTAATCACTTTTGCAAAAATGCAATTCTCTTCGATTATTTTAATTCAATGAAACGATAAAAATCTTGTTAAAGCGATGAGAGGTAACTTTGTTAAATTATTAATTATTATTATTATACGAGCGGCAAAGCCGCGAAATTTCGACAAAATCCGATAGTGTGAGTTC